TTAACATAATCGATGTGACGGGGATGAAGAAGAATAGGACCTTTGCGATGGGATTCAGGGGGTCCGCACCGGACCTCCTGAAATCCCAGGGGGTCCGTTCCGGACCCCCTGAATTGGTCGCTTTACGGCGGCTTTCGGATTAACATCAGTGTTTCTGATGTTTCCCATCATCGGAAAGCCCACATGTTGGCCTGGGAACTAAAGTGGTCCCTGGACGGTGGCAGATTGGATTCTGAAGTTGATATGCGTTTTTCTTCATGCTCGAAGCAACCCATCGGATTCCTCACGAATTACCATATGGATGTCCTAAGGATTCCTGTGCAATTCCTAACGAAACATATGGCTCGCGGAAGGAGTTTTGTAAACCTCCGACGGAAATTCCGAAAGTTTAGAATGGAAGCTTGATGGAAGCTGGGGACTGCCGAAAGGGATCATATGAATCCCCCTTCGGAATTGGGTTCCCCATGAAATCCTAAGGAATCCGATGGGTGTGCTAAGGATTCTCTTGGCTGTTCTAGAGAAATATTGTACATTGCCTAAGGAATCATATGAGTTGCCAAAGGGCTCCTATGGATGTCCCAAGGACTCATCGATTTCCTGAGGAGTCCGGTGTTTTTTCTATTGTTTCTGGTAGTTTCCGAAGGGATCCATTGGATTGTCTTATGATTCGCAGGGCTTTGCTCAGTGCTCTTATGGGTTCCCGAGGGAATCCCATGGATGGCCTAGGATTATTATGGATCATAATTTTTTGATTTCCGAAGTAATCCCATGGGTTGCACCAAAAATCCAATGGACTTCTTCTGGATCTGATGGAGTTCCTTCGGTATCCGATAGATGCACGATGGACTCCTACGAAGTTCGTGAGGACCCCCAATAGTTTTCGAAGAAATCCTTCGAAGACATGTTATGGGTTTCGGGAAGAATCCTCCGGATTCCCTAACGAAGCCGATGGATGTCCCAAGGGATCTGATAGATTTCACAAGGATTCCGACAGTTGCCCTACCCTAAATAATCCGATCGATTCCGTTAGAAATCCGATGGGTTTCGTCGGGATCCCGATGCAGAATTGAAGAAATCCATTTGGTTGCCGGAGGAAGCCTATGGATGTCCTAAAGAGTCTTCAGGCTCTCTTTTGGAATCCAAAAGGTTTTCTTAGGAATCATAAGGATGTCCGAAGGAATCTATGGATGTCCGGAGGAGGCCGATGAATTTCCTACAGAACCCGATGGATTTCCGGAGTGATCTTATGGATTTCATTACGATTCCGATGTGCGTCTTTTATCCTATGGATTTCCTCGGATGCCGATCGATTCCCGAAGGGACCCGATACATGCACGAAGGGATCCGATGCCGGCGAAATCCTCTTCGATTCCCTGGGGAATCCAATGGATTGTTTTAGTAATCGTTTGGATATCCTTAGCAGTCCAATGCATTTATTCAGTAACCGGATGGATGTTCGAAGGGTTCCTATCGATATTCCACGGTGTCCTGTGGGTGTCCGAAGGAGTCCCATGGATTTCCTAAGGACCTAAGGACCCCGATGGATTTCAGAAGGATTCATATAGATTTCGGAAGGAATCGTATAGATGTCCGAAGGATTCCAATCGATGTCTTTTTGAATGTTATTGGCTTCCTGGGGCAATATGTATAATTCCTTTTTGGAAAATCAATGAGGTTCCGCCGAAAATGCACAGGATTCCGAATTAATTCCATAAGATCGCCGTGGGACTTCGTAGGACATTCGTAAGATTTCTTAGGACATCCATCTGTTTTTTTTTCTGTCGGAAACCCATAGGAATACATAGGATTCTGGTAGAAATCCATCGGAATCCTTAGGAGTCTTTGTTATTCAACATAAGTCGAGAGCAATTTCGATTCGCAACTTTCCCCCGCGATAATATAGTTCGGCCTTGCCGCCTCTCTTCCCTGACCAAGACTGTATTGGCTCGGGGTACAGTCAAAAACCCGAATGAGGACACGCGACTTTGCTCAGGGTACCCTTGCGTCCTTGCTCTTCCTTGCTCTTGCGTCCTTGGGGTTTTCGTCGTCCGCCGCCCCAAAAATCCCAACTTCGGCTTCCAAGGGTCTTGCGTCCTTACAGCGCGTCCTTATTCGGGTGTTTGAGTGTACATACTCCCTCAGTCGTGAAGGGGGGAGGGGTCAGTTATTTTCTTTGGGGGTGGGCATGATCCTCGCCCGACTTTGTCCTCGTCCTGGCCTCGTCTCAGAATCCTCTCTCGTCCTCGCCGCGCCCTCCGCCCTCGCCGCGCCCTCCGCCGCAGGAGGCGCCCCCGGTGCGGCCAGCGGCCGCGCCCGCGCCGCCGCCGGCGGCGCCGCCGCAGCCGCAGCCGCCGCCGCAGCCGCCAGCCGCAGGCGTCTTCGGCTGGCCCCCCGCGCTGCTGCGGCAGTGGGCACCCCCGGGGTCCGATGCTCGTTTCGGGGACCTTCCTGGGGCCCACCTGACGGATCTGTTCGACCCCAGTTCGACTCGAGTTCGACTCAAGGTCGACTCAGGTTCGACTCAGGTTCGACTCAGGTTCGAGTCAGGTTCGACCCAAATCGACTGACGTTCGACGCAGCTTCGACGCACGAGCGGAGCGAGTGGCTCCAGGAAGGTCCCCAGAACGAGCATCTAACCCAGGGGGCCCAGAGCTCCGACGCTCCAAAAAGCATTTGGTCGGCGGGTTTCCTACGTTTTTGGCCTCCCGGGGGGGGCCTCGCCAGGCGTCGGGAGCGTCAAAAAATCGGGGGCTCCCAAACGGGGTGGTGACCACACCGTGTGGTGAGTCGGTGGGGATTCGGGGTCACCGCCCGGTTTTTGGACTTGGGTCGTTCTCCGAGGATGTCTCGGGCGACTGGAGCCTCCAGGGTCCCAACACCGTGTGGTGACGGACCGTGCGGTGAGGTCTTTGCGGATTTCGAGGTCACCGCCGGGTCTGTCACCACACGGTTTTGGGACACCCCAAAAAACGATTCAGGACGAACATCCGGCCCCAGGGGAAGTGGTCCAGGTCTCCGAGGCCCGCGCATCGAAAATATTGGAGCAGCCGGATGTCTGGGATCGGACATAGCCAGGATCCCGGTTAAGGGGGGACGGTTAGTCATTGGGCTCCGAAGGCCGAAACATGGATTGGAATCGCTACACCAGGTCTGCCGTAGTTAGTGTTTTGCCGGATGGCGGCGGGTCCGGTTTGTGGGATGGAACGGGGGGGCCCCCCCCAGTACATATCTTCAAAGCAGGTCCCACTAAACCCAGTCTTGCCGGCGACCGTTGGTTTCGCTGACGGCTGGTCTCGCCCGGTTGGTTTCGCTTGGCTGGTTTTGCCGCCCGGCGAAACCAGCCCCGTCGGCGAAACCAGCTGTTGTCGGCGAAACCAGCTGCCGTCGGCGAGACTGCCCGACCCGATGCACCCGCTGGGGTCCGCCCGCCCGACCCGACCCGCCCGTTAGGGTTCGCGCGTGCTCGGTCGAGCGCGCCCCACATTTTATTGTCCCGCCCGCCCGACCCGACCCGACCCGTTAGGGTTCCGCCCGCCCGACCCGACCCGACCCGCCCGCCAGGGCCCGCCCGCCCGACCCGACCCGCCCGTTAGGGTTTGCGCGTGCTCGGTCGAGCGCGCCCCACATTTTAATGTCCGCCCGCCCGACCCGACCCGACCCGCCCGTTAGGATCCGCCCGCCCGACCCGACCCGCCCGTTAGGGATCGCATCGGCGAAACCAGCGCAAGCGAAACCAGCGCTGGCGAAACCAGCCGCCGGCGAAACCAGCCTCCGGCTAAACCAGCGGGGCGAAATTAGCGCCGGCGAAAGCAGCGTCGGCGAAAGCAGCGTCGGCGAAACCAGCGGGGCGAAACCAGCGCAGGCGAAACCAGCTCATGCCGTCTTGCCAACGCCCGATCTAAGAAGAACACCTCTATTCTGGGCCTCCCAGATAGGGAGTGGAAAGCGTGGCGCTTCCACACCAAAAAAAAACCGACGTTCTGGGGTCCCGGGGTTAAATTTCTTGTGAAAGGTTTCTTGTGGCTGAGCTCCTACTGTCAGAATACCTTCTTGGAAGCCTGGTCGCCTTCTCCCGAAGGACAGTACGGTGTAACCGTCGTTGATGTTATTTGTTGTGCTCTTGTTGTTTCCTGAGGGCGGAATGTATACATGACCACCGCCTGGTGGATCGATTCTCGTGGACCTCGCCAGGCGGTGGATATGCATATTCGGGCCCCTGGGGGCCAAACTATATCCATATCCACCGCCCGCTGGGGCACCAAGACGTCGGTTCCCAGGCGGTGGATATGGATAAATCCTCGCCTCGCATTTTTTCCGGAGACTGGAACATATACATTACCAGTGGCGGGCTGTTCTTCAATCCCAGGATTTTGACGGTCGGGGACGACGTCGCGGCGGTGTGGTGTAAGAATTATTGTTTGTTCCGTTTTCCCGGGGGAACAGCGAAACATGTACACACCAGGATCCCGCATACACCAGGATCCGTTTTCTTGTGCAAGTGTCAGCGCAGGGCCGGAAAAAACGCGTCGGTGCATAGAGTTTGTTTCCTAATTTCTGTCCCTCCCCCACCCAGAGATCCCACACTCCAATTGGCGCGGCGGGGTTCTGTCAGTTTTGGGCCTTCAGGGGCTCTCACCGGGCCTCGGGGCGTTCAATTAACGATTCAAGACGAAAATTTGGCCTTAGGGAAGTGGTCCATACCTCCAGGGCCCACGCTTTGGAAAAATTGGAGCAGCCAGATGTCTGGGAGGGTAACGCTCGTGACCCAGGGCAAACACCCCCCCTCCCCCGGGCAAAGTTAACGATCGTTCTGGAGGGGGGGATGCGTTGACTTTAGGCTCGGGGAGGCTCGGGTCAGGGAACCATAATCATGACAGAAGGGGACGCCCGCGCGCGCTCGCAGGGACTGCGCGCATCAGAGCGCGCAATTGGATCGTGCGAGCAAAGCGCGTTGGCGACAGCGGTTGCTGTTGGTTTGTTTCTTGCTTGTGTGCTGCTTGATGGCCGGGCAGCGCGGAGAGCTCTTCATCGAAGAGTTCTTAGATTGGAGGGTCGATTCCTCCGAGCGCGAGTCCCTTTCTGCGCTCGTGCAGAGAGAGGGACTGGAGTCGGCTGGCGATTTAGCGCATTTGTTTTGCTCGACGGACGAGGCGGAGCAGTGTGGAGTGCCCACGGCCTGGGCCGTGGCTCGGGACGTGGCGCGGGTGACGCCGTGGCTGGTGCCCGCGCATGGCATTTGCGCGGAGGGGCGATTTGGCGGCGCGGCGGCGGCCGCCGCGCCCGCCGTGAGCGCGGGGGTCGCGGCGGGGAAAGGGCGTGGGCCTACCGCCGCGCGCCGCGGTCGGCCGAGACGCTGTGCCGCAGTGGCGACGGAGGCGGCAGAGCGTGAGGGGCGCGTTCAGCTGGCGGTCAGCGCAGTTCGAGTGTCGCTTGAATGGCGCCCGGAAAGCGGCCTCGGGCAGGGGTTGCAGGAGGCGCAGGCCGAGATGCTCGCCGACGTCTCGTCCGCGGCGGTGTTTAGGCTGAGTAATTTCGAAGCCGGGACGCTGCGCACGGCCTTGCGCGTGTGGGGGCAGTGGGCCGAGTGGGCGGGCCGGCAAGGGCAGCCGGCGACGAGTCTGGCGCGGCAACCCATGGCAGTCGCCGAGTTCGTGCATAAGCTCTCGATCGCACGGACGTCCGGCGTCAGGATCTGGAACGCCTTGAAGTGGATGTGCGTACATCTGAAAGCGCCTTTCTGCCTGGACGATGCGTTTCGCCCTGTGCCACGTGATCCAGGCAGTGGAACCGTAGCACCGCCGGCCCAGGCCACTGTCGTCGAACCCGAGATGATTTACCATGTGATCGATTTCCTGGATGGCGCGAGAACGCCTGGGCAAGTCATGCTCGCGGCTGGGATGCTGGCGGTGGTATTCGCGTGGGTGAGGTACACGCACCTGCTGCGCTCTAGGCCTTTAGAGAGTCTGTTTATTTTTGCTGGTTCCGCGCATCGAGGGGGAAGCAGGGAAAGCGACAGGGGCGACCTTCGTTCGATTGGTGCTTGCCGAGGCGGCTAGGTGGCGCGCGGTCCGCCGCTGACGCCTTGTGGGATGGTTGGCACAAGTTGGCGGCGCGGGAAGATCGAGCAGGAAGGGCTGTGCCGACGGGGCTCGTCTTCGATCCAGTTTCCGGCGCGCCGGTGAAGTTGGGTGCCTTTAACCGATCGCTGAAGGAAGTATTCCGAGGCTCGCTAGCGGACGATTCCCAGTTGGATCTTGTGACTTCGTACAGTTTGCGCCGGGCTGGGCCTACATGGGCGAGCGCGATACAATTGGACTGGGAAGCCCGAGTCATCGCGGGCGGTTGGACGGAGGGGGGAGACAACTCCCGTCGGAACCAGATGCCGCTCGTGTATAATGCGCGTCGGCGGCAAGCCGAGATGTGCACGCGCCTGCACATGGCCGGAGTGTTGTCGTGCCTGCGGACCGATCTGGAGGCCCCAGTGCAATGGGGGCAAGTGCGATGCTGGGCGAGTTCTGCGCCAGGAAAAGTAATGTTGGCCGACCTAGAGAAAGAGGCGCAGCAGCGGGTGGCGGTGTCGACCGTTCGTGAGAAGGCCGCGTTCTTGCCCCCGTCGGTCGTCGAGGAGTTGAGGCGGCAGAAGTTTCTCCGGATAATCGTGGCCCCGCGTGGACAGCGGGTGGGGCGCGGCAAAGCGCCGGGCGCGCCTCCACCCAATTGTCGGGGTCCTGCCGACGGGGGCGCCGCGGGTAAGAGCGGTGAGGGGGGGGCGGGCGCCGAAGCGCCGGGCGCGCGCGCGCGCGCTGCGCAAACCCTCGCGTCGGGGGCGCCGCGTGCAAAGCGGGGGGGCGCGGTAAAGCGCCGGGCGGTTTGCGTGGGAACGCGTTGCCTGCGCCTGCGAGTCCACGCAGAGCGCCGAAAGTTGCCGGCAAAAACAAGCGACCAGCTGAGGCGGGAGCGCGCGCCAGTCCGGCGTCGGTTGCCATTGCGGGCCGCGCAGGGCGAACCGCGGGTCGATCGCGCGGCCCAGCGGTATTGTGCCCGGGCGTGGGCGGCATTTGAGGCTGTCTCCATCCCCAGGTCCAGGGGAGATGAAGTGTCGGTGCGGCCGGGAGACGCAACCCGTGCAGGCCCGGCCGCGTTCCAAGCGCGGGGAGTTGACTGCGCCGGTCGCGCGGTGACCGTGCTTCCAGGTGACGAGGCAGCGCAGGGCGCGGAGTTGGGTGAATGCGACGTAAAGGGCTCAGATGGCGCGCCAGCGCACTGCGCGCCGCCAGTCAGGCAGGTTGCGGAGGGATCATCCGCGCGCGCGTCGCGAGCCGTGGGCCCGTCGCCCGAGCCGCGGGGCGCGATCGGGTTCGTGCAGTCTGAGCCTGGGAGGGCTACCCGGGTAAGGGAGGTTATGGGGCCTCGATATCACGTCGCGATGCCCGTAATTCGTCGCCTCAAAAAGTCCAGAGCCTGGACGGACAGTGAGTTCGGGCCAGTGACGAACCTATGTCAGTATGGATTGAGTGATCTGCAGTGGTTCCCGGCGCTCCCGGAGGGAGCCCTGGTGTGCGCGGCGTGTGAAAAGTTGCGCGGCCGGGCAGCCCCGGCGTGAGGTGGTGACGTCATCGCGGCGGAGACGCGCGGAGTTGCGCGTGGGCCTGCCAGCGAATGCCAACTTAACGGATGCGTATGCGCGCCCCGAGGTGGGCTCGAACGCGGTCCAGAGAGTCGGTTTAGCGGAGCGACACGTGTGGTTCTCGGTATGTCTTTGTCAGTTGACGGCATTGCGCTGCCGGGGCGCGTCGGCGCTCGCGACGCCGCTGCACAATTCAGAGAGCTGGCCGCGAAGTATCAGTTTGATGAGCGCATCGCCACCCACCTGGTCGAAACCGTGGGTCTGGAGACGTTGGTCGATTTCGCGCATGCCGTCACGAGCGAGAACGAGTGGGCGCCGATCCTCGAGCGCGTGCCGGATCTCGAGAGGAGGCTGGGACAGCTGTCCCGCGTGCGCCAGGCGCGGCCTTCGCCTGCGCGGGGGGGGGCCCTGCCTGGCTCGCGCCGCAGTTCGAGCGCGTAGTGCGGCAGGCGTGGAAAGCCGTGTGCGATGCCGCCCGGGAGTCCGAGACCCGGAAGGGGCGCGGTTTGGACGAGAGCGACGATGTCCCATTGCCGTCGCCGCAGCTCGCTGAATTGAGCGAGCAGTTCTTCGCTCGGTATAAGATGGCGTACCCAGCGGAGTGTGAGCCGTCCGAAGCGCTGGTCAGTACGATCAGCAGGGAGCTGGGCAGGCGCGTCCCATTGCACGCGGAGGGGGTGACCGCGTCGCGCGCGCGGCCCCCCATGGTCGGCAGGCGCCAGGTGACGATGATGAGTGTATGGAAGGTCCGCACGTTGCTGAATGCCGCGAGGGCTGCCAGGAAGCGGCAGCGCATTGGGGATGTCGAATTCGTGTGCGATGTGAAGGAAGATCCGGATCCCGCGAAGGACTTGAAAACCTATATCGCGTTGCACCAGGTTCTCATGGTGGCATGCGCGCGCGCTGGGGTGAAGCCGATTGACCCGGCGCCCGGGGCGCCAGAGAAGGCGTCTTCGGATACGACGGATTTCGTGCAGATTCCGTTGGATGTCGCGATGGCCTACCATTTCCGTTTGGTCAAGTACGCCAGTGCAATGCCGTTCTCGATTGCGCTTATTTAGGTTCTCTTGTGTCTTGTTATGTTTTTTTTCTTTTTTTTTCTTTTTATTATTTTTTTTTTGTCATTTTTTTATTTTTTTTCTTTTGTTTGTTTTTTTTTTTTTTTTCTTTTTTTCTTTTTTTTTTGCTGCATAACGTCGTGCGTCGGGCGAGGAGGAGCGCGCTTGGTGGGACGGCAGGGTCCGCAACAGCGAGCTGAGCGTCGGTGATTTTTTTGTTTATAGTTATTTGTTTTGTTGTTTTATTTTTTTTTGGAGTGTCGGGAAGATAATCCGCGAGGGCTTGCAGACTCGCGAGGTCATGTGGAGCCCGCCCTCACCGCCAGCTCCCGGGCCGCAGCGGCCGCCGACGAGCGTCGGGCGGAGCCAGCGGACAGGTGGCAAGGGCGCGCAGTTGGGCGATCGGTTGAAAGACGGAACCAGGTGTGTCGCAAGTTCAACGCCGGGGAGTGCTCCGAGCCGTGCCCTCGCGGGTATAAGCACGTCTGTTCCGTCGTGATCAACAAGACGGGGCGCTTGTGTGGCATGTCGAACCACAGCGCCCTCAAGTGCACCAGGAGCCCGGGTCTCAGTTTTTGGTTTCCCTGTTAGCTTAAAGGGGGCGGCCCGGGTCCGGGGGCGCCCTGGGTCCGGGAAAGGCGACGGTTAGCGCCGAATGTTCGGAACACCCGGCGATGTAGTTTGCGACACGAGGAACGCGAGCGGGGGCGCGGCCGACGGCGGCAAGCGCGGCCGCAAGGGCGATTGAAACGCACCCGCTGCCGCGCCGCCCGCCGCGGCAGAAGGGGCAGTCACCAGTGGGGTCGCGTGCCCCAGCGTCGTGGGCGCGCGATGGAGCCAGGCGGACATCGCTGTGAAAATTCGGAAGTCCTTTCCGGAAGAGTGGATGGTGGGCGTTCCCATCCCGTTCTTGCAAGACTTGTTGAATACTTCGCCATTCGTTGATTTCGCCATCTGGGCGGAGCTGCAGGACGAAGGACTACCTCTGGGATGTTCTCTGGGCAGAAATTCCAAGGGGCGCGCGAGCGCCGTGTTGGGTCGCCAGGCGGGCGTGCTCGACCACAGGCTAGCGCTGGCGCCGGTTATCGAACTCGGCGTGGGGGAGCGGGCACACCTCGCTCAATGCATCGAATTCGCGAGCGCGGGGCGATTGCCATTCGACGATGAGTACATGGCACCCGTTGATTTGAAGTATGCTGCCTTTGCCACGGTTGCGTTCGCGTGGGCCGGTGGTAATCGGCTGATGCAGTGGCGCGAGTCTTGCGCCGGGGCGTTGAAGGAGCTTAGTCAAAGGCTGGCGCCGGTGTCCCGCGCCCTTCGGCTCTGGCAAAGCCCCTCAGTACATGCCGTGGCGCAGAACACCCACATCGCGCTGATTTGTGTTCTGACTTGGGTGATGGGTTGGCCGGATTGGCAGCTGGCCCAGAGATTTGTGACCGGCTTATATCGTGGGGCGATTGGAGGAGACGGGTGTCTGGGAGCGGTGCGAAAGTTCGGATCCTGTTTCTGAAGACCGCTTGTTGGCGGAGTCCACCGCGCTTTTACGTTCCAGGGACAAGCGACGGGTTGATCCTGAGGCTGAGTTTCTTTGGGAATCATGCTTGAAGGAATGCGAGAAGGGCTGGGCTGCTCCTCCGGCGTCGCTGGCCGCGATGGACCGCGAGTACGGCGCCGGGCGCTGGGCGGCCGTGCCGTCGTTCGTGCACGTGCAGCAGAGCGGCAAGCGTCGGCGGATAGACGATGCTAAAGCCGGTGGGCAGAACGGCGCGACGGTGTACCCTGAGAAGTGGCACTTGCCATCAGCGTTCACGCCTGCATTGTATGGCAAAGTCTTGAGGCAGCGGTCGGGAGGTACGCCAAACACCGGAGGTGGCTTTTTCCCCCTCCCCGCCGGCCGGTGTGTCGCGGGTTTCCCGCGGGCCGTTCCCCCGGGTCCGTTCGTGTGGGCCTAGTGGGCCCCTCCGGTGTCCAAGGGGCGTGGTCCGGCCCGGTGTTTGGCGTGCGCCCTCAGGCAGGACGCTGCGGCGGGAGGCTTTGCCGATGAGGGCTTAACCCTTGAGACTGGAGGCGAGGACCTGCCGGACGCATTCAGGTCCGTGCCGGTCAATCCCGCGCAGCTGCGATATAACGTCATTGCGGCGCGGGAACCGCGCAGCGGGGAGTGGCGATACTTGACTGCATTCGCCATGCTGTTCGGCTTGTCGTCGAGTGTTATGAATTTCATGCGGTGGTCTGCCTTTCTGGAAGCCGCTGCCAGGCGCGTGGCGGCATTGTTGCACACAATGTATGTCGATGATGGCAGTCTTGGGGACCTCGGATTGGCGAAAGGCTCGGGACAGGCTTTACTCCACGTCTTGTTTTCGGAGTTGGGTACCCCGAGTGCCAGCGCGAAGCAGCAGCGCATGGCCGCCACTGGGGCATTCTTGGGAGTCGATCGCGACGTGTCTCGGGTTTTTGAAGGCAGAGGGGTGGTCTCCTTTTGGCCGAAGGCCAGCATGATTGACAAAATCAAAGGCCTGCTCGCGGAGCACCGTGTCGGAACAGCCTGACACCAGCGGAGGCCTCGAAGCTCCGGGGCATTCTGCAGTGGTCGTCCTCCGCGATGTTCAACGGCGTCGGCAGCGCCGCGATGGCGTCGCTGAAGCAGAGGCAGTACACGGACGCGCCTCCGTGGGCGTTATCCCACGCGATTCGGCGGTGCTTCGATTACTTCGAATTTGTAATAGACCTTGCCCCGAAGAGAAGCGTCGACGTGAGCCCGCCCTCGTGTCCGCTGATTGTGATCGCAAGCGACGCGCTGGCTGACGGGGCGACCGCGCCCACAGGCGGCTACCTCCTGGTCGATTGCTTGACAGGGGAGCGTGTGGGAGGATGGTGTGTATTCGACGATGCCATACTCGCGGAGTGGGGTTTCTCGCCGGCGGACCGGGAGAGGGGCGCGAATCCGTTCGCCCTCTGTGAGGGGGCCATGGTCCC